ATGAATTAAATCAGTTCAAATAAGGTGTACACTTTTCTAGATCAGTCAGATGAAGTGTTTGCACCAGTTTCTTCTTGATTTTAAGGCAATTTAAGTCATTCGGTGCAAGACAAAAAAATAGGCCTGAATTTCCAAAAAAATTCCAAATATTGAAAATGTATTTAAATTTACTCCTGTGAAATACTTGCATAGGTGAATTTCATAAGTTTATATGACAACACTTTTGAACTCTCTATAGAAAAATCTTATTTTCTACTCTTATTTCTTGATGTATTTACAATTTTTGAAACACACATGACAATAAATTAATATAATCTAGTATCATGAATACTTTTCTAAAACTTTGTGTTTCTCGAGAGTTCCTCTAGCACTAAGTCACTGCTGTGGAGACTAGTAGAGACAAAATCTGCTGAAAACTAATAGATCAGATTACCCATATGTATAGTTCCTCTTAATTATCACCAATATTTAAACATCTCAACAAATAAATTGATTAAAAGCCTCCAGAACTCCAGCAAAGCTATTAAATTTGCTGATATTTGCACATCAGTGTAAATCTGCTATTATTTCAATGGCATTTATTCTGGATTCAGTGGCAATGACAGAGAGAACATTGGCCATAGATAACTGTACGCATGAAAAATGTATATGTGAAGCTTGAAAACCTGATCTCTTGCCACATATTTGCTACATTCTGAGCACACCACTGACTTCCAAGTATTTCCCTTCTGCTTCCAAAACATAGTTATAAACTAGAGTTTTCAAAACTGAATGGTGTCTCAGAAAATCCTAAAGTTCACTTTTTAATTTCAAGTATGACAGGAAAAATGCCATGCCAGGAAAAGATGTGTCTAACTGTAATATTATTCATTATTAATCTTTAAAATATATAATTATCAAAGACTTCTGTAATGTGCCAAGGCAAAAGTCATATGTCCATGAAATCCCATACCCCTTAAAAGCAATCTGCTAATAGTAAAATATATATATCTTGTATAGATGCTTTGAAATAGTCTGTGGATTTCTGCTATAGGAGGGGAATTAAAGGCTCTACAGAACTTAATTCTTTAAGTTTATAGAAGCTCCAAGGAAACAGGTCTATAGTCTATGGAGGAATTTTATTATCTTTCAACCTACTGAATTTGATAGGTCCTGTTAAAAAGGGATAGTAAGTTAGAGCTGCTTAACAAGTCATGTTGACTGCGGTACCCACAGCTGCAGTGCAAGAGACTTGCAAAGGCTTTCAAAGTCCTTTGGGAAATCCATATCCATGATTCCTCCAGCCCATGGACCCTACAGAGCCAAAGGAACTGCGATGGGCGACCTGTGGGGAGCTGAACGTTGTTCCTTGCTTCAAGCACCACTGGGCCTGGGAGAAATTTAGGAGTTCATTTAGCCAAAAGCTCCTCCAGAGGGTCAGAAACCTCTTGAATTGAATCTGCAAACCTGTGCTCGCCCCAGTGCACTGGAAAAATGTGGCCATGACACTGTGATTTAGAGACAAGTGCACACACCACAATCAGGGCCTAGCTGCCAAAAAAACAGAAAAAAAAAGAAAGGGTTTGCAGAAAATTTGTCCAGAAGCCAAGTTTCTGAACACTGAGGTAACTGGTGTTCTCAAAATAGCTCAAGCTACTTTGTCCCACTGAATACTACATAATTAAAGACCGTGCTTGTGAAAAAGATGGGATAGGACACTCCAGCACGATGTTCTTTCCGTTCTCCTTTCATTATTTCCAGCTAGCAGAGTGCGAGTTAAATAAGCACCAGGAGTTGCTCTTCCATTAATGCCTCATTCATGATGCAGCCATCCAGGCTACACAGATGCTATGAATATGCAGCACACTTACTCATTTCTGTTAAACAGTTACACCTTAAGTTTGCTTATGTTTAGAATATCTGTTTTTTCAAGTATGGTATAAGTATGGTGAAGTTTTTCCAGCATCATTCAGCAGATTTGTCATTTTTCAAGTATGGTATAATGATTTTCAAAAGAGAAGCTTTTCCAGCATCATTCAGCAGATTTGTCCTTTCCACCACAAAAACAAACAAACAGCCCTCCTGTTAATGGTAGATTTTTGCTCTGTTTCCTTAAGTTGCAACACTGGTTTAAGATACATACAAGTCTTCCCTACAATAATTTTTTGTAGGCTTAGGAAAATTCTCTATCGTTACTGAAGAAATCATTACTGAAGCAGTTTCTTTATCCAGTTTTACTTGTGGTACATAAAGAATTTCTGAATTGAGGGTAATTACTAATTTTCTTATCCTATACATACTGGGTTGAATCCTGTAGGATGCCTGTCTGAAAGCTCTTTTTCAGTTTTATGACAAATAGAAATGCACAAGAGTTTAAAATTGAGCTACCTAACTGTATAAAATTAAAGTTTTCATTGGGGCTAC